TGCTGGTATATGGCGCAGAAGCATGGACAATGACAACATCCGATGAGGCGGCTCTTGGGGTGTTTGAGAGAAAGGATTTTGCGGAAGATTTACGGGCCTTTACGCGTTGGCAACGGCGAGTACGCAGACGATGGAACGATGAGCTGTATGAGCTTTACAACGTCATGGACTAGTGGAGCGAATTAAAATACAGCGGCTCCGCTGGCTTGGCCATGTCGTTCGAATGGACACCGACGCTCCAGCTCTGAAAGTATTCAACTCGGAACCCGCTGGTGGTAGCAGAGGAAGAGGGAGGCCCCCACTGCGGTAGAAAGATCAGGTGGAGAAGGACTTGGCTTCACTTGGCGTTTCCCATTGGGTCAGCTGGCACAGAGGAGAAACGACTGGCGTGCTTTGCTGAAAAAAAATCCAAAATCGCTTACGCGGTTACAGCGCCAAAAAAGAAGAAGAAGATTGGCTAAGCACGCCTACTGCGCCCTTGATAGATCCCATATCATTGTACAGTAGGCTACGGCAGCTCGAGCAGAGTCCTTAATAAATAGTTTATCTCGTAGTAAAGGGTAATCCCTGCCTCCTCTACTCAAAATCTTTATCCCAATTCTTAGCAAGGGATCAATTTTTGTTCTGCGTTATCGTCAAGTGAAAAGTATTTTCACAAATCGACAATAAAATAAATATAGGGTTGAAGTGTTATTTTTAACTTCTCAATAACCTAGGTCGATTATTGACCAATCCCCCCCCCCTCCCCCCCTTACCTTAATTTAACGGTAATAGCAATTTTATGAAACTTATTTTTACAGATATGGATTCCTCAAATACTTGTTTATTATTAGCTGATATTTTACTTAGAAACTTTCCTGAAATAAAAGGGGAAAAACACCGATATCATTCTTCATTTCCCGAAAAAGTGCGCGAAGATTTTAAAAGGCATACGTCTCCCAAACACAGATTACGCTGTGCGACGGTCGAAACCAGCCCTGACTTTGTTAATATTTTTGAAAGTATACCTATCCAGTAATAAAACACACTTTGGCTCGTGTTTTTATTTTATGGCCTACTGAAGTTTTCATGTCCCGGCCTAAGTAGTTTTCAAAAAAGTGGAAAAAATATTAAAATAAATGTCCGAGCGAAATTAAATGTTAAAACATAATGCAAGACCCGAGAGCATTTTTTAGGACGTTTTTTAACAGCCACAAAATGCTCAGAATAAAAAAGAAATCGACTAAGCCAGTTTTGTCTGCCTTTCTCTCCTTCTACACAGGATAACAATTGAGAAAAAAAATCGACGTGGCAATGCCTCCTTATTATAAGTATTTTAATATAACCACTTTATCAATTTCTGCCAAAATTGGTTCTATATATTATTGCCTTTAATCCATCAAGGCAATGTTTTGACTTTTTTTTTAAGTCCGACAAAATCTAAGCACTTTTCCCATATAACGGTTATATACGTCCAACGTATCCGTTCAAACCATTAAAGTCGCCGGGGACCGATGGCATCATACCTGCGCAGCTGCAAAAGGCTCTAAAGGTGTCGTGCAATTGGTTGGATCCTATTTATGCGAACTGCGTGAGGACCGGGTACATCCCAAAGGCTTGGAGGGTGGTCAGTGTTGCGTTCATCCCGAAGGCCGGAAAAGGCTCTCATGTTTAAGAAACGCGATTCCTTGTGACTGTCTTTCAAGAGCTGAATATGGTTATTGCAAGAAAAGGTCGGTGAAGTGGTCAGAGGAAGCCTTCACGCATGAATATTATAGAGTAGGGACCTTCTTCGATATCGAGGGGGCCTGCAACAATGTCACTCCAGAGGCAATAGTAAAGTATATTCATAATCTGGGGGCGGAAACCAACTTAATAAGGCTTATCTACAGCGTCTGCAGAGTCAATAGGAGCACTCCACAAGGTGGTGTTCTCTCTCCCTTGCTCTGGATTGCGGTTGTAAACGACCTTCTAGAGGAACTAGAAAAAGTGGGCTGTCGGGTGATCGCCTATGTAGATGATGTGGAACTTTTGGTTAAGGTACGATTTCTATACACCTTTTTTGATCTGGCTCAAGGTTACCTGAACCACGTAACTAGGGGCGATAAACGGCGGCCGTCGTGGAAGCCTAATATTGAGGAAAGGGTTGGAAAGGTGTCGGCTGCCTTGTATTGTTGTAGGGGAGCTATCGGTAAAAGGTGGGGTCTCTCATCCAAATTAATTCATAAGCTCTGGGAAAACAGATTTAAGTCGATATTGTTTCAAGGAGTCCTGGTTAGGTGGAACTCACTAGAGAAGGCCACACTTGTAAAACATGAATTAGCGGAGCATTAGGAACCACACTCACACTGACGCTTAACATACATGTGTTGAACACAGCGCCTGCGGATATTAGGATGAGGAAAACCGGGTCCTTTTGCAACATAAAAAAGGAAATGAAGACGTTTCTCTGCTGAAGCAAATGTTTTTATAGGGCACTTTAAAACACGTTACCTCTCAAGGGCTAGTGATAGGGGTTCTGACAGGCTATTGCGCGATTGGTATTCATGCGGAGAGACTAGAAATTTCAACTGATTCTTTTGTATCAGCTTCCAAGAGGAATATGAAATGTAATCATCTCCACTCTTTCTTTTAGACTGCCCAATTATCGCGAGGCTATGTTGGAAGCATTTTGGCTCTCAGAGATCGAAATTAGCCGCATTCGAAATTCCGTAATCGGCTCGCGGCATTAACTTAACCCAACCTAAGCTGTACTTCTTTGAGATATGAAATAGTTGGTCACGTTAGGTATGGTATTCACATGGGCAAAATCGATCAATAACCACACCGACTTACCGAAACTACGAAGGCCAACTTACTTAAAATTTATATTAAAAATAACCTCCTAGAAATAAACTAGATTATTACAAATTTCGGAAAATGGGCGTGCTCCGTCCACTTATTATAGCATACCTACGAAAATATATGTATCTCAGCAACCGGTTTTATTTAATTATTTACAATTCTAGGACACTGTATCAGTGTGCCGACCGTCATTCTACGCTCAAAGGTTCCAAAATTTTATGGCCAAAACTGTGTTTCGAAAAATACCGTCACGTAAGTTTATTTTTTATATTCAGCATCAACGGATTTTAGAAATAATTTCATTGCTTTCTTGCAACAAAAGTGGATCTACCCGAAATAAAAGGAAACCACAGAAAATTTCGTACCTTGGTAACTAGTTACATAGGTAGGTATCTGCATATGTACACATAAATACAATGTTTTTCTTTAGCTAACGCGTAATATGTTATATTATTATTGTTTTGTTCACTGTAGCTCTCAAGCACTCTCCCTCAAAGAGAAAAAGTTTATCAAAAGCAATACAGCGGTCTATTGATAATGAGAATGATAATCGATGTGAGTATACCCATAAAGCCTTTAACTAGAGCCCAAACGAATTTCAATAATCCTTTTATCACAGCGGAATTCACCTTCGAGCATCGCCCAACGCATGCTTATCCATTACACATTTCTCATACTTCCGGCGTCAAGACGCACACACAACTCAGTAAGACATCACCCGGGCTCCTGTCTTCTGGAACAGATGTGGCCAAACCAGCTACATCGACTGCTTCTGGGACTACTGCAGCACCTATGGTGGGTCCGCGGTTATCTGTTCAATATGCCGGTGGAGGCGTAGCGAAATCCAAGGTCCCTCCGCCAGTACCACCGAGAAGTTCACCGCGTCGGAAGAAAAGTGATGGTCACAACGAAGTGGCTCGCACCATTTCCAATACAGGTACATATTCCAACGGCAACCGCAATGAAAAGAACATCAAACCATCAGACAAAATGTACCTTCCCGTTAAGAGCGTCTCGCCACCTATAGAAACAATCTTTAAAAAAATAAGAACAAAACAGACATCCTCCAGTGCTCCCAACACATTGCAGGTCAATGAGAAGCCACAGCCTCGTTTTGGAGAGCGACGATCACCGAGTAATGTACAAGATTGGCTGGAATTGCATGATTTGTTTGATATTGACATGCCGCCGCCAGTGCCGCCACCGCCTCAGCTTCCAATGTCGGCTTTGAATCGAAAGGCATCACGCCCTATTATACACAGTCCAGAATCAATGCAATCGCCAACGAAACATCGCAAAGCTTGTCGCTCAATTGCACCAAGTGAATCTATTAAATCGACGTACTCTACGGCTCGGTCAGAGGTGCGATCACATAAGTCCTATCGGTACAATTTACTGCACCGCGTCGACATGTTTCAACGCCAAAATAGTATTATATCCCGCGCTGGGCGTCCTTCGATTGGTTCGATTGTTTACAATTTTCCGCCTGTAGAGCCGGAACCACCAGAAATTCCACTCATCAGTGCAGCAAATAGTACTAAAAATTTTCGAAGGTCACCACAAAAAAGCACCAAGCACCAGCGTATGTTTCAATACGCTGACATGGCTCTACGCGATGACCGTTTTGAAGATGATCACGAAGAAAATCTTTTACACTCAGTGAATACTTTTGTAGAGGTTAAAAAAGAAATGGAAACAACATTTAGACCACGCAAAATGCGTCCACCTCCCGCGATCCCGACATCAGTAGAGAGTCAGAGCGATAACGCAGAGGTGTCCGGCAGTCAAAAGCGGAAAATAAAACACGTCTGTTAATTTTGTTCAAAGATATACGACAATTAAAAAGTCGACTATAAACTACACGACTGCAACTTTTGAACTGCTTGTCCATTCCTATTCTCCTCCCGCCTCCCATGCAAATCACTTCCTCGCTTTTTATGCATTCAATTTTTTATTCATATGCTCCCGCTAGTTTCAAGTTTATTTGATTAACCCATTATTTTCATGTATCGCTAGGCTCAACACCTTCTTGCAGTTCAACGCCTCCACCCGCGTTTGATGATATATCAGAAGACAGTTCGCATAGAAATAGTTCGTCCTTTGGTAGAAAATCGCATCACCACCAAGAGCGCAAAATGAATGTTGGCCCAGCTTTTCGAGGCTCTCAAAAGGATGATATTGTCAGGTAATTTTATTAATCTTTCGCCCTCTCTCCCTTTAAAAAGCAAATGTTTTTCTATACACATGCACATACATATGTATATGCCTAAATCTAATACAATTACTTAAGTTGTTTGCTTAGACACAAAAAATAATAATCTAAGAAATAAGTTCTATATGCATGTATTGGGATTGCAACATAAAAACTTCCGTTCTTTCTTCTTACAAATATGTACATACATACATATAATATACATAATAATAATAATATATTGGTGCTTACAAATATGTTAGTGTTTGGCCGAGCTTCTCCTCCGATTTTTGGCGGCGCCTTGGTGTTGTCACACCAAGGGGAGGGACCTATAATTTTACGCCGACTCTGAATGGCGATTGTATTTTTATGGGAAGCTGTGTTTCATTGCAGAAATACACTCGAAGGTTTTTCATTGCCTGCCGAGGGGCGACCGCTGTTAATAAAAAACCTATTTTCTATATTTATTCGATGTAGCTTTGGCCAGGGCTTGAACCCAGGCCCTGCGGAGTGGAGGCGCGCACTGCTTACCACTACACCACAGCGGCCACTACACATTTCATCGCTAGCCATAATTTTTAATCTCTCATAGTCCAGTTATTTTCGAAGGCTCGAAATTCAGGAAAAAAGTATCTGTGTTATATGTATGTATTTAAAAGTGCGGTTAGACGTGGCAAGCAAGCGCTTTTTCTACCTTGCGTGTATACAGCCAGTCGAGCTGGAGAAACATCGATGTTTTTTTCTCAACATTGATGTTTTTGCAAATTGCAAACCAACACTTATTCTTAAGTCAGAAAAATCTTAGTAATATTTAAAAGACTTTAAAAGCGTACCTCATTTACATGATTCAATAACACTATACGGCATAATCAACTTTTTTTCTGGGTATTGTCCAAACCGCTTTTTTTGAAGAGATTGACTCATAAGTAAAAAAGTGATTTCTTTGTGTTTCGAAGTTAACCTCCGAAATCGATATATGGGCCGTCGAAGTTCGAAATTGGACCTTTGATAAAAAATTATTTTTAATTAAAAAAGTGAAAATATAGACGTGGTCCGGCTTGCTCTTATTTAAACGGAATGTAACTTTTTTTTTTGTGCAAATTTATATTACAGGTGCTATAAGGAGTCAAATGTCAGATCTTCGAAAAATTAAAAAAAAAAATGTTTCAAAAAGTTTTGAATTGATTTTGGACTCCTTATAGCACCTGTAATATAAGCTTGCACAAAAAAAATATATTACGTTTAAAAAAGAGCAAAAGGCGTCTGTGTTTTTACTTTTTTAGTTGTTCACATGCAATAATAAATCAATTTTTTACCAAAGGTCCAATTTCGAACTTCGAAGGCCCATATCTCGATTTCGGAGGCTAACTTCGAAAAACGGGGAAACTGATTTTTAAATTATGACCCAATCTCTTAAAAAAGGTTGGGTTTGTTCAATAACTGCTGTACAGTGTAATTAAAGGTTTGCTCACTAGTGACATTAGAGTTTTGACACTTCCTTACAAAAGGTTGCACACACACACGGTGCCTTGCTAATGATTAGAGTTTTGACACTTCCTTAGACCCTTTTCAGACACGTCAAGACTTGATTTCAAGTCTGCTCGTTCGTAGTCGAAGGAGGTGAGACGAATGTACCATTCCCCTCTTTTTTCACCCCCTTCGCCAACGAACCGAGCAGACTTGAAAGCAAGACTTGACGTGTCTCAAATGGGTCTTACAACAGGTTGCACACACACGGTGCCTTGCTAAAGACGCCGATTTTGTCAAGAGGGAGCGAGAAACCCGTTTTCTAAGCAAACCTTTTATTATTGAATCATGCCTCCTTTACGCGTAAATAATTTTTGATATCGAGCGCTTAAAGAGACAAAACTGGCTTATAATCAAGTTAAATATAGAAAAAACTAAACTCTACATTTTTATAGGCATTTTTTATATAATAGAATTTCATCTCAAACTAAAATTTACAAAGTGAAAGGCTAAATAGCCGAATTCTCGAATTTTGAAAAACATATTGTGCTACACTAAAAATTTTCATTTTTGCTGCAACTGCTGCCGTGTGACACGATTTCTAACGAATTTGTATAAAATTATAAAACATTTGCATCACATCATTAAAAAAAATACTTGAAATTAATTTGTTCTCCTGATATGAACTATTTAAATTTGTGTTGGGAAGTATCGTTTTTGTATTTTGGACTACTGAGTACTTTCGAGTTCTTTTGTGAGTAGTGAGTAATTTCGAGTTCTTTTTTGAATACTGAGTTCTTTGCAATACTCAGTATCGATACTTTTAAAAATCGAGTGCGGTCGATCCTTTTGAGAATCGAGTTCTGAGTACTTTTGGAATCGATACTGCCCAACACTAATTTAAATATTAAAGCATTATACATTTTGTGGCTGTGTTTGTGCGCACTTTAGCATTTCTAACAAGTTTTTCATATCTGCAATTTTATAATAAGCATAAAAATGTCTGGTAACATAAGTAGTTAAAAGTACAATTCTCTGCATTCATGCTGTGAACAAACAAAAAGTAGTATCGGAAAGTTTGATTTTCGAAACTTCTCCTGCAATCACTTTTGGAATTTCTTGATTTTGACGTAGTTTTGAAAAGGAATCGTACTTGCCACGTCTAACAGCTATGTACTTAAGAATGTATGCGTATTAAGGCATCTATTCCCGGAATTCGGGAGTCCCGAGATCAAGCCCTCGGGATCCCGGGATATAATTTAATTTACGGCCGAATTAAAATAGAAGGAAATTCAGACACTGTGAGGCATAAAAGAATTATAAAATTGCAACCCACCTAATAATCAAATAATATATTACAGTATATTACAGCCAGTAAAAAACATCCAACTGCCGAATTCCGGCGAAATGTCATCTGTTCTCTCACAAGAGAAAAATATCCAAAATAGGACGCGAACAGAAAATTCGCAGAAATTTGCAAGTTAGACAACAGCTGATATAATTTTTGTTTACATTCAAAAGTGTAAAATTTAAAACGTACGAAAAGTCATCACAAAGTGTTATACTGACACAGTTTATTGATTAACAAATAACTACTTACTTCTTACAAGTTTAATTAGTCGCATTTTGTAATTTTTAACTTCCAAACCATCAAATTCAATTTTGTGATTTGCGTAAATGCCAACCAGCTGTTTTTGATCAGCTGTTTTCCTGTTGGCACATTGCTGTTGGCAAAAATTTTTCCAGCAGAAACTGCTCCACCTCAAAATGGAATGTCAATTTGCTCTCTCAATTTCCCCTACTTTGCAAGTTTTTTGCGTACGCGAACGCAAAAACTTGAAAGTTTTGGTTAAACATGAACAATATATCGTCGCTACCACGTCAAACTATCGAATGTGCGAAAATGCTTTTTCAATTACGATACCTTGTGCATGCGATTAGAGTCTTCTTAGAAGCACACGATACTGGCTTTAACAAAGTGTCGAATCCCACACTTTTTCCTAATGTCAACAACATTTTTTACAACAATTTATTTGCTCTCCTGAAATGTATACATTTTCACAACCGATAGTTTAACATGGTAAAGCTCGGAATCTCATGCAAATGCAAGTTTTTATTGAGCATCTTCAAACGGAAATGGTTAAGGGTCTTTACGAATCATGAAATTTCCTTTAAAATGGCATTCAATCGTTAGTGCATATTTTTGCATATTTTGCAGTAAATGCATAGTTTTGCATATATTGCAAAAAATACCTGTTTCTGCATATTTATTCCCAAGAAGCTCCAAAGCTCTCTTAAGAATGAACTAAGAAGATATCTACAAACTGACTGCAGTGTGCAAAGGGTTCTGTCCCGGTGGGGTACATATTGAATTAATTGGATTGCCCTTCAACAGGTTTTGTCGCAGTTGCGATGACCCTAGCTCAAAAGAGACAATCGAACACTTCCTGTGCGAGTGTCCGGCCCTCGAAAGGATGAGGCTTAAAACACTCGGCAAGCCATTGCTGCAGAATGTTTTAGAGTGCAGCTGCCTCTCTCTGTATGACGTACTGAAATAAATTAAAGCCGCCAAATGGCTGTAGGTTGTACGAGTTGATGAATCAAAATGGCAAACTTACTAATAGCTTGTCACCACTTAAACCAATCAAACGTTCATTTGAACCACTATTAAACCGCAGAAAGGCTCGGAACCATGCAAACTCATTTAGGCTCCACTCTTTGCAAGACAGTCAGCCCTTTCGTTGCCTTCAAACCCTTCATGTGCCTGATCCCTCCACAGCGGTACGCTATTGTGGGCTCCCAGGTGGTTCAAGAGTTCACAAGCCTTGATGCCGTTCTAAAAGACTCTAAGGCTTCTAACGCTGCCTGAATATCTTACATAATATCTATTCTGGCCTCATTTTCCTTCTACGATAAAATTCGTGCACACAGACTTCGATTGCGAAGACCTCCGCCCAGAATATGGTTGGGTACAAGCCCATTGGCAGACTTTCCTGGAATCTTGGTCCAAGTACGCCATCAAGTATATATCGATGTTCGTATTGGATATTGGCAATAATAAGGGTATACGTTTGTACTGAGGTATCATGTTTGCGGCCGCCGTTATACGAACGCACCGGTGAAATATTCATGTAAAAAAAATTGCTAAAATGTTTGGAGATACATATTTTCTCTTTTTATAATTATAGCGCGTAGACCCGAAACCTAACAAAATCCAATCAAGCCTACCAACCTACCAAATGGAGAAAAACCTACCAGTTTTGGTAGGAAAAGCCCATGCTTGGCAACACTGGTTACACAGCTGAGAGAAAGTGGCACTTAAGTTCTCCTCTTTGAGCTGGGGGACACCTCTCAGAATGAGATCAGATGAAATTAGAGAGCTCTGCTCAGCTGTTAACTCACCGATCCGAAACTGGCTTATAATCAAGTTAAATATAGAAAAACTAAACTCTATATTTTTATAGGCATTTTTTATATAATAGAATTTGGGAAGAAATAAAATTTACAAAGGCTGCGTTTCTTTATAC